ATTTTAAATTAACCACAAATTAATCTCTATATTTGCTTCAGCATTGTATAATTACCTACAAACAGTCAACTGTATAATTTAAATCTGAAAAGTAAACTTTTTGAACAATTTTAAACCTGCTTGTTTGATGTGACAATAAATATTGTTACAGCTGTTTAAAGAAAAAAAAAGACAAAATTGATATTCAATTATGGTTTATAAAAAGCCAAAAAAAATTTTTTTATTTTTTGCTATACAACAAACTTATTTGCTGAACTTATTGTTGCTTAAACTTTTCCAGTTTTGACAGTTCTTGCACAAAATTTTGACTAGAGTAAAACTGATTCGTCAATAACCAACCTGAAGTTTTTGTCACAGTTGTACAAATTGAAAAAGTTTATTATTTTCCTGCTGAACAGCAGAACTATTGAAATGAATATATATATTTTTGTAGCTAAACGATTTCGATTAGTTTTTAAACAATAATGTACGGTGATCTTACTGAAAAAAAAATGCTTACGTTCTTTACGACTCCACTCTTTATGCGTAATGCCGATAAGGATTGGTATTCGGGCATTTTGACGTATCAATTCTTTACCAGAACCTGGGATCAGATCGCCATCCACAACCATCTTTGAGATGCCTAACTGTATAAAAGCCGTTTAATATTCAAAAAAAAAAAAAGATTTGTTTAAATTTGCCAAACTTTACCGTCAATTTTTACACACAGTTTAGTATTTTATATTTGAAGAGTGAAAAATACGGCTACTGACGTAATTAAATTATTAGAAAATCTTATTTTCTGGAAGAGGCAATGGAGGAATGCGAAGGGAAGGAGAGATAAAGACTTAATATGTAACTTCTTCCGTTCAATACCGATAGTTTTAAAAAAGGAAAAAAAATGACAGTTTAAGTCGTACTACAAACTGAACTCTTTAATTGTCATTATATAACAGAGTGTTTCACTGGACAAACCTCATGTGCCAATGCTAATCGAAATGGTAATGACGAAAAGTTGAGTTCATTTCGTACACAGTGCATAACTTCATCGCTGTTAAAATCTTGAATTTCCTAAAACTAATTTTTTTTTCTTCTTTATTCTTTAATAATTATTGTAACTTGTAAGCAGTTTTAAAAAATTTCAACAGCTAGGCTTTTTTTTTTGTGTGTTTCTGTGTGCGTTTTATAGCTAACTTTAACCAGTTTTGGCATACATTTTTTGACTGCATCAGCAAATTAAGACAAAAGATAATAAAGTAAGTCAAAAGTGTTTACTGTACATAGGTATATTTTTTCTTGTTTGAAATCTGCACTCAGAAACAGTCGCCTTAAAAGAGAAGCTAAAGGATAGTAATAACAACAAATAAAATAATCTTTTTTTAATCGAAACGAAAAAAAAAAAGAAAGATCTAACATTAAAACAGCTAAGAGTTTTTTCTTGCAAATTACACCGTCCCTCATCTGTTCGATCAGTTAACTGCAGTTTTTCCAGTGTTTGTTTTTGAAAGGTTTTTTCACAACGTAAATAGTCCACTAAATTTCGTAGATCCCAAGCGGAAGTCTGATGCCGTTGAACAGCCCATCCGGCTGTTGAGGAACCGGACAATGTGATTACTCGATGTATTAGATCTGCAGAAATGCACCGAAAAATGCGCTTTGTCTTTTTTTGCACACAGTATTATCGAATGTAAAAAAAAGTGGTACCACAAGTTCTTTAACTACAATAAAGAAAACATTTTTTTCTCTTTTATATCAATGTATTAAAAAAAGTCTTTAAAGTGAACAAAAAGTTGCAAAAATAAACTTTTTTTCTATAAATAAACCAAAAAAAATATCTTTGTAAAAAAAAAAAATTTTTTTTCTTCCACTTTGATCAAACAAATAACAGCAGCAACAGAATGTTTTACAATTTTTTTTGTTTGTTAACTACTGAAATTTTATACTACAAATATGTGTATATCGGTTCAGATCAATCAACGTAAAAGTTTCAATAGCTGACTGAAAATGCAAAAAATTTCTGCTGATCGATTGTTCTACACTTTCGTATGCTTTTTCAAGATAAGATAACAGAAAAGATGTGAAAAAATTCAATTAATAAATAGATTTTACTATAGGTTTTTGGCGAAACAGCCAACATCGAAGCAGCAGCTGCACCGGCATCTTCACCCATTACCGTGACGTTAAATGGATCACCGTTCAGTTGTTTCATATTCGCCTGTATCCATTCCAGTGCTGTTACTTGATCCCAAATACCAAAATTACCATCCGTAAAATCACCATTTTCGTAGCTCATAAAACCTAAATTTTCTCTACGTAATTAAAATTAACAAAAAACATTTTTTT